TAAATAATCAAAATAAAACAAGTAGTTAGAATAAAAGAAGAATAGAGAGTGTAAGTGTTAGTGAGTCAGGTGTAGATTTTTATAATTTATTCCACAGCTTTATTTTATTAGTCCCTGCCAAAACTTACCTAAATACCTAAAATATTCATCCAGGCCACTCCAGAAGTTTCGCTCAATGAAGCCCTTGACCAGTCCCCATGGCTGCTTCCTGTAGCGTAGTTCAGCTGATACCCTTTTAGATTCATAAGAAAAAACACAGCATTTTATCCTTATCCTATAAATGTTGTTGTATAGCACAGAGCATTACATATTATAATGATATTTATTGGATTAAAGATAGAGTAAAGAATGAATAAATACAGAGCACAAGCTTTACCTCAGGCGACACTTGTTCTTGGCGACTCTGGTGAGCATGTAGCGGTTTAGCGTGTAAAAGTAATCGTGATATGGGACATCGTGAGCAATCACCTCAGCGTCGATGATGTAGCACTCGCTCACTTGACTGGCCTTGTGCAGAGTCTGGAAGAAAAACAAAGAAACAGCTTTTCACAGCGTAATCAAAAGACAAAACTACATGAAACACGTCCCGTATACTGTATGTGGCTTGTTTATCTGCTCTGGTGAGCTCACCTGCGTCTCTGTGACTGTGGCCGTCTTTGGGGCCAGTGGATTGGAGAGGGAGATGGTGTACATGATCTCTCTGGTCTGATTACCAGTGTCCTCTTTCTTCCACGGGTGATAGACCACATCTGAAAAGAGAAAAAAAAGGTGAAATCAATAACAGACAGATATAAGCAGAAAGACAGACAGACAAATAGATAGACAGTTGGATAAAGACGGTTAGATATATGATTGTTACGTGATCGATGATAGATAGATAGATAGATAGATAGATAGATAGACAGACAGACAGACAGACCATAATGGTCAACCTGAAAAGCGTCTCTGCTCCAGAAACTCTCTCATGAACTGAGATTCAGTGAAGAGGATGTCATACATTTTATCCACTCTGAACTTATACACTTCATTAATGTACAGTTTCCCATTCAGATCTTCCTGGAAGGCCTGCACTTCCCCTGCTGAGAACACAGAAACAGGTAAATAATCAAAATAAAACAAGTAGTTAGAATAAAAGAAGAATAGAGAGTGTAAGTGTTAGTGAGTCAGGTGTAGATTTTTATAATTTATTCCACAGCTTTATTTTATTAGTCCCTGCCAAAACTTACCTAAATACCTAAAATATTCATCCAGGCCACTCCAGAAGTTTCGCTCAATGAAGCCCTTGACCAGTCCCCATGGCTGCTTCCTGTAGCGTAGTTCAGCTGATACCCTTTTAGATTCATAAGAAAAAACACAGCATTTTATCCTTATCCTATAAATGTTGTTGTATAGCACAGAGCATTACATATTATAATGATATTTATTGGATTAAAGATAGAGTAAAGAATGAATAAATACAGAGCACAAGCTTTACCTCAGGCGACACTTGTTCTTGGCGACTCTGGTGAGCATGTAGCGGTTTAGCGTGTAAAAGTAATCGTGATATGGGACATCGTGAGCAATCACCTCAGCGTCGATGATGTAGCACTCGCTCACTTGACTGGCCTTGTGCAGAGTCTGGAAGAAAAACAAAGAAACAGCTTTTCACAGCGTAATCAAAAGACAAAACTACATGAAACACGTCCCGTATACTGTATGTGGCTTGTTTATCTGCTCTGGTGAGCTCACCTGCGTCTCTGTGACTGTGGCCGTCTTTGGGGCCAGTGGATTGGAGAGGGAGATGGTGTACATGATCTCTCTGGTCTGATTACCAGTGTCCTCTTTCTTCCACGGGTGATAGACCACATCTGAAAAGAGAAAAAAAAGGTGAAATCAATAACAGACAGATATAAGCAGAAAGACAGACAGACAAATAGATAGACAGTTGGATAAAGACGGTTAGATATATGATTGTTACGTGATCGATGATAGATAGATAGATAGATAGATAGATAGATAGATAGATAGATAGATAGATAGATAGATAGATAGATAGACAGACAGACAGACAGACAGACCATAATGGTCAACCTGAAAAGCGTCTCTGCTCCAGAAACTCTCTCATGAACTGGTAATACAATTAAATATTAAAAAAATTAGATCTGATTTTAATTTAATTTCAAGACCATTATCGGCATAAACATTGTTTATCTTCATCATTTTTATTAACATTTACATTTAGTCAGGATTCAGTGAAGAGGATGTCATACATTTTATCCACACTGAACTTATACACTTCATTAATGTACAGTTTCCCATTCAGATCTTCCTGGAAGGCCTGCACTTCCCCTGCTGAGAACACAGAAACAGGAAGAGTCCATGTGTCAGACCAGATGTGGTGCAGTATATAGTAAAAATCAGTTTTTGAGAGAGCGTACACACCCTCATCATGTGTTTCTGACGAGTCGCTGAGTTCAGTGGGAAGGTCCTCATTGTCGTTGAAGTCAAGGGAGGGTGAGGGGGTGGGGACATGGGCGGAGCCACTAGTCTCTGGCAGCTTGTTGTCAGGTAACGGCAGGGATAGGAGGTCTTCAGGGACACAGCCACTAAAGTCCTCCACTGGGGGCACGTCAAACTACACAGACAGAAAGAATATCAATCACTCAAAACATGCGTAGCATTTGCACTAAGCGTTACACTATGGTGTAGTGGTCAGGTATGGCAACATTAAACCATTAATGCCATACAAACTACTATTCCCACAGTAACGCAGTGATATGATGTGTGAAGGGATCTGGTGCTTACGTTGACCGGAGCATCTGTGCTGTCTGTGGAATTTAGACTGCTGTTGGGGAAAACCCTCCTGTGGAGTTGGGGGCTGATGTCCATTTTGGCATCTGGGGTTTTGGGGCAGTTGTCATTGGCCTCGTTTTCTTCAGCGGGAATCTCCTCACAGTACCTGCACCAGGGAGAAGGGCAACAGCTGCAGGTCAAGATTACCAGCTCGGGCAGAAGAATAGACCCTCTCCACACAGATAGCAATGGGATGGACCAATGGATAGTGGGTGAAAAGGAGATATGAAGATGTCTACAACAAATTAATGATCATCTGAATATTGGATGCACCAAGTTTGACTAGGTATATCTGATTGGGTACTTTTGATTTGCTGATTTTGATGGTGTTTTTAATTTATTGAATCGAGAGTGGCTAAATATATGTTTTAAAACAAGTCTCTAATGCTCTCCAAGGCTGCATTTATTTAATCAAAAATACAGTAAAAAAGTAATATTGTGAAATATTATTACAATTTAAAATAACAGTTTTCTATTTTAATATATTCAAAAATGTAATTTATTTCTGTGGTGCAAAGCTGAATTTTCAGCATCATTACTCCAGTCTTCAGTGTCACATGAAAATGTAGAAATCTCTTAAATTACGAATTAACATCTGTTTTCTGGACCTCTTCTAACAAAGCTGTGAGAGAGGGTGGAGATTTGTAAATTATGAATCACCTAAATGGTTGAACATTCATGACGGGGGAAAACTCACCCCATGGTGTTGAAGTCGTCATCAGGAGGTACATAATCCTCATCATCACTGGTCAGACCCAGTTCATTCCCATAACACTGATGGACAAAGTGCCACAGCTCTTTGGGACACAATGGCTAAATAAAAACAATAGACACGGTGGGTGAACATGGCAACCAAGCATTTGTTTTCAACAGATCACTGGATATAATTCCATGTCTTGTCCAACCTTTTCCAGTAGAGCATTTTGCCAAAGTCTGAACATCATCATGTACGTCCGATCTCTTGCCCCGAATGAGGTAAAAAAGTGCTGGAGGAGAACATGTGGATGTTTAGTGTTGGTACACTACTGGTGTTATGCAAAAGTCAAAAGCCTGTGTTTACCTTTTCACTGTCTGTGCACAGCTGGATGGCATTGGGGATGAGTCTAGCCGTCTTCTCTTTCGTCATGGAGCAAACATCTTTCAACTTCACAGTCAGCTACACACACAAGACAACACAAACTCAACAAACCAGCAGAAGCCACATCTCAACACAGCATGTTCACTGTATATAAAAAAAAAAGGCAGGAATGTGATTTTCGTGCAAAATTAGCTGCTTCCCCTCACACAGCTTTCTGTTTCAGTGGTTCAAGAATATGGCATGAGAGACTGGTTCCCTCTAAGATGAGAGTAATTCATCAACTCACCAGCGTTTCCCAGCGGAATATGTTGCTATAGAAACAGATCCAGTTTTCAGAGAGGTAGAGGCGACCCTGCAGGAGGATATCTCTCTGCAGGGCACAGGAGTAGTCTGTCAGGATAAGGCGAGAGGTCAGAGGTCATGGATGTTAGGATACAGCAGCCCCTTTCATGCATATTTTTTTACATATTGTTTCCAATCACACACCAAAAATATAATAGGCTATCACTAGTTCAAAAAAATATATATATAGTGGATCTAAATTTTTTATTTAAGTTGTGAATATTTTAATACCTGTAATACCGTAGCATAAAGATCAAATATAAGACTCACCCACAATGAGGCGCTCGGTGTCAGGCAGCTGCTTAAAGAGCTTCCTGAAGTCTTCATTTCGCTGTTTGTATGTGGGACTCAAAACCTGAAAGACAAGAGGAGAGAGAGAATGAGACCAGCTATGTACAGTACACATAAACACACATACAGCCACAAACATCCAAATAGAGACAGTCAAAACATTCAGCATTTCCGAGAGGGTACAAAGAAGACAAACTGTAAAGGATCATTATACAAAACCGGTGCCATTTGTGTCCCCCATATACAACATAAAAAAAGTTTTTACAAAAAATATATATTTTCAATGCTCTGCTTCATTATCTACACCAATGTACTGAATAAGCACTTCAGTTCCTCTGCAGGCCAGTCCTGACTGAAACCACAAACAGTTTGCAAGATGCTCATGATCTAACATAACCAAAGCTAAACAAGAGGAGGGAGATAACTCTCTTCTCCTCTCTGATTGGTTGCTTACAGCAGGAACACTCTCAGAATCCCAGTCCCAGTCCATCCAATCACACAGGGGAACTTCGGGTTGTTGGACCGCCTCCCAGTCGTAGAGCCAATCAAACTCAGCCTCAAAACTGAGGACTTCCATCGCTCCTGTCTAGTTGTGGAGACGTTGCCACTTATTGTCTCAGCTCCTGACAGTGGTGCAATGCTTCAGCATGTGCGCTGAGCTCCAGTGCAGCTTCACCAGGCCACGTTCTGGAATGACCTGGAGTAACCTCTGCAACTGTACTTTGGCATTACCTATTTTGATGTTTAAGTGAGTCTCAGCACCTAAACACCAGCCAAACAATCTTCCACATGCAGCAGGAAAAATCCTCACACTGAAAGACACACATCGCCCTTGACAATGAAAATGGAGCACGTTTTCCTCAGGCAATGAGTCAAATTTTTAACACGACACAGAGGACAGTTAGTGGTAACATGTAGTGATGTTCGTCCTTTGGAATTGATCACTTGATGCTCTCAGAATGGAAATGTTCCTTGCAGCTGCTCTCTTCTTGTTTTAGGGTTTACACCTGCTGATCCACCAAATTTACAAAATAAAAGAAGCAGTTCCAGATCCAGCCAATAACTGAGGAACGCTGCCACTTTACAATGTTTCAGATCCAAATGGTTCATGAAGGTTTTCCATTCCGGTTATCTAATAGTAACATTTGCATGGTGAGAAAAAATTAATTCTGGCAAGAAAAACAAAATTGTGACACTGTTATCCTAGAAATATCCAGAGGCAAACATCAGTTTACACAAATCCAAAAACAGAAAAGTCTTTGACTGCTTGAGGAAACAACCACCTGCTTCGGGGGGAAAAAAACTCTCTCTTCAGACAAAAAATATTTTTTCTTTCAAAATTCTTTCTTCAGCATGCATATTCAAAATTGCACGCATTAATATCCTTGCAAGCCAAGATGCGTTCATCTGCTGTGAGTCGCTTTTGAATAAATTTCTTCCCAGAGGATGCTAAATTTGTCTCATTAAATCTCACAGAAAGACCAACTTGAGCTGAAGCAACCCTTTACTGCACAAGAGTTCTCACTGAGACTTTCTACAAAACAATTGTGCCAAGAGGAGTGGGGGTGGCCTGAGAGAATGTTTGTGTGTGAGAAACAGGGAGGGGGAGGAGCTAGGGAAGCCAGCTGGCCAATAGAATGCCAAGGAGAAGAGAGAGGAGGGGCCGTGTCAAGATGTAGTAAGCTCTTTGCTTCAGGCTGTACATTTTTCTCACTCATGATCGAAGAGCTGTGAGATTTATATGCTTCTCCTAGGACTGTCATTACACCCCTCCCAATCCCAGGCCAACCTAGATTTCATGTCTCTCCAGAAATGTTGCAAAAACACCATTTATGCTGCAGTGATAGCTGCTGTTGTCAGTTTCCTGAAGACCCTGAGGCGCTTAATGCCTGAACAAGACACTTCAGCTTCCACAAATGTTTTCATTTCATTACAAAACCCCAAAAAAGTAGCTTGAAAAGCAGAAGTTTTTTGGTTTCATGAGGTGGGAGTAAGAGATCAAAACAGTGGGAGGTGGAGGAAAATATAGGATGGAGAGATAAAGAAAGTTTGAGAGAGAATCACAGAGGCCCCCATTGTGCACAAGTCATTTTATGGTGTTAGTGTTTAGGCACAGCCAAGGACAACGCCTCAGTCTTCCTTCACTCCCTCATACTCGCACTCTCATGGGGTGAACGAACTCTAGTTAACTTCCTGCGCTAGAGGAAGGGGGGACGTTGAGGGGATGCCAAATGGGTGAATCATCTCTCTTTCTGGCCTCTCCTTCAATCCCCTCTCAAGCAAAACATTTGAGGCCGCTACTGAGGCAGACTCATTGTTCAGCTCAGGAGCAAGACACTAAGTAGAAGAATCTCATTGCATTTGTTTTGGAAGCTTTAAGAAAGTCCCTTATTTGAACAACTATGTTGGGTTGTCACTTGATGCCAAATGTCAAGTCTGGGTCAAATTGGTATTTCATTTGAGATAGTAACCAAAATCTAACCAGGTGTGGTCATTGGAGGAGGAGGAGGATGAGTCCTGTTCTTCTCAAGATTTTTCCTCTGCTGGCTTAACGTCATATGGAGTATTTTTTTCCTTACCACAGTTGCTCTTCGCTTGTTCACTCAGGGTTTGAAGGCCTAATGCATCATTTTCTGTAAAGGTGCTTTGAAACGTAATGGATTGTAAAATGCTCTATACAAATAAAAATGACTTGACCCTCCCCGCGACCACATGGGATGTGATTATTTACAGTCCTGTGGCGAAAATGTTTTTTCTTCACTGATGCCCAACTGGAATGAAGAAGAGTGTTTACA